CTACACACACACACACACACACACGTACGACTACGTACGTACGTCGTACGTCGACACACACACACTACTACTACCTCCTACCTACTACCTCCTCCTCCTCTCTCTCTCTCTCTCTCTCTCTCTCTCTCTCTCACACACACACACACACACACACGCACACGACGTGTGTCCGACACACACACACACTACACTACCTCCTCCTACTCCTCCTCCTCCTCTCTCTCTCTCTCTCTCTCTCTCTCTCTCTCTTACACATATTCGCATTCTTCTACTTCTCTCTCTGTAACGTGAAAATTGCTTAGAGAACCAAAGACATCTATGGTTTCTAATCTTCTCCCACATCTTGCCTATCGCCAATAACCCACTAAAGACAAACACCCTTCAAGGAGATGGAATATGAAAACATCTCAAGAATCGTCCCCTACAATGTGATGAACAAGGACTTGATAGAAACAATAGTCCCAAGCCTAGATCCCTCATCAAACACTTTCTATCGGACGAATACCACTTCTACCCAAGGAAGAACGTCCTCATCCACTTATTTCCTCCTCAGATCCCTCATAGAGCAGGGAGATGTAGTCAGCTTTAAAAAGGTGTAAACTTCCAACTGGACATCCATTTAGGGTGATCCAAAACTCAAGGCAAAGATCTCATACAAGATTCCCCACAATCAACGTTCTCACCCATTCAAATTCTTCTATAAACTATAACAATGCTTTTCTAAACGTTAGTTAAACTAGCTCAAGAGTGACTTCAACCATATACCTTTCCTCTGCTGCCTCCAGACCCAAGTTTAAATCCTAAACTTTCTTTGCAACCATCTTCATATCTTGTTGGACTGTTAATCTCTAGCAAGGTATTCCTACCCTAAGACCCTTGAACCAAACTCTACTTATTGCCTTTGCCGTACCAAACCCTTCCCCATAGACCCCTAAGTCCCATCTTTTTTAGGCCTAAAATAATCCAATCCCACTATATACAGGAGACCTCAAGAGTTCAGAACCCCGCTGTCCTAATCTCTGCGGAAACCAAAAACCCTTAAGAACTCATAAATGCTAGCCTATCTTTGTTCTTAACACTTTGTTGAACAACTTGGTCAGCCAACATATGTCAATCTCCCCCATGCACCACCCCCCCCCCCCCTCATTTATGTCAAAGGTTCCTCCTAATGATGTATTCCTATAGTGTTCGTCATTTAACAATTTTTGAAATTAAATTATCCACCTTTTATTGACCTTGTTATCCTTTACCAGGACCCTCCGATCCTCACTCTTAATACATTTAATATGATCTAGATCTCTACACTTTCATTCTCTCACTACTTTCATCCAAAAGGACATGGATGGAAGTAATGAGAAAAGATATATGACATATGGTCTTACTAAAGGTATGGCCCTTGATAGAGCAGAATGGCAGAACATAATTTATGTAGCCAATCTGAAATAGTTGGGATAAGGCTCGAATGATGATGATGATAATAATACTATAATTATGAACCAATTAGAATGGCGGAACTAGATTACCCCAAATAGTTGGGATAAGGCTCAGATGATGATGATGATGAAATGCCAACCTCTCTACAATTCCCAATCATACCGAAACCATTTTCTTTACCCACCTTGCATGTTACACTTAAGTATGAGCCAAGTCCCTTGGTCCTACAAGAGCAGGGGTCCACACAACCCTAAACGCCTCAGTTTTGACTTAACACCCATTAGTCACATATCATAACAAGAGGGGACCGTTGTAATATATCAGTGATTATTACTGATTTTCTCATGTGAATAATTAGCATGTAACGACGTGTACATCTAAGCAACTCCATCCTGCAAGAATATTCTTTCAAGCTTGATAACAAAAAGAGCACAAGCACAATACCAGTTACCCAGGTTGAAGTATTAAGATGATGAAGTCAAATGAGAACTGTTGCAAATGATCGATTTCTAAGCAATTTATGAACCCACATAATATCTTAAGCTCAAATTTACTAGAAATATAACAGAGGAGAGATCTATATCATATGCTTCCACAAATAGACCAATTAGACTTAATACCTATAGAGGCTTAGGATGTCAACAGTAAAGGACCAAACATTTTCTTGCTTCACCCCATGTAATGTCCACATTGTTGTGAAAATTTGTTACACGTATGTTAAAATTAAAATAACCCATTCCTGATGAAGAAGAGGGGCTCTAATCTTTGGGATACATGTTTTATACAGGGTACAAAATGTATCCTGTTCCGGATTTGGCAGGTTGCAGAGTCTGAGTGACTCGCCCGAGTCCGAGTCAGCTCGGGCAAGTTTTAGAACTCTACTAATATTATGAATTGGGAGCAGTCTCTGATTTCAGATAATTCATCAGACTCTTTTTTATGATTAACTGTTTCACTGATTGGCAAACATCGTAATATTGTGTCTGAAGTCATCAGACTAGTGTTGACAGAGTATTTTCGTATTGTTACAATGAAAAAGTCATCTACCTTTTCAATATTGTGAAGAATAAGAGAAGGCTCATCGAAGAAAGGCACAAGCAACTCCAAGTTACGCTTATAAAGATCTCTACCTGCAGAATGTTTGAATACTTAAATAATGGAAGATGATAGCAGCGCGATTGAAAAATTTAAGTCTATCATCAATCATACACAAATTGTTTTCTAAAATTCAGTGAAGTTCTCAAGATGAATATGCCTACATGAACATCTGATAAGCTTAGAGAAAAAGCAAATGATCCAAGGAACTACTTCTGGCCATCCCCATTTTCAATCTGCAAGTGCATCACTGCCGTATAAAGCTAGCACATTTTGAACAGGAATCTTCTAGGGAGTGGAAATGCAGCCCCTAGAAAAGAATTCAGCTCCTAAGAGAATTTATTCAAAGAAATAGTCACATTCAACTGTACGTATCTACATTTCTTGCCATTTTATTTGTAAGCGTGCGGACAATATAATATCTATTTCTTATTTTGTAATTATCCATAATTATAGAACTTACCATTATACTAGTCTTCAGTTTATCCTGTTTCCCAATGCATGTATTTATACAGTCTATACATTTTCATTATATAATATGTTCCAATGTTATACAATTCACAGTTATATGCTGTTTATTTATAATTGCATGTTTTATTATCTGTGTCTTTTTTTATCTCCTCTATCATTAATTAACCATCAATATCCATTTAATGGTGTGTCAACTCATGAATATATATGTGGCTACTTCTAGCACATGTGCTTCTGTAGTTTATTTTTCCATGTTATTATAGTCTTCAATGTTAAAAAGATCGGACTGGTGGTTGAACCTGTCACACACCAGTTTTAAGTTGGATTGGTTGACCTGTGAGTCAGCTCAGCTAGTCATGGTACTTCTAAGAAACGGAAAAAAAAAAAAGAATGTGATGGAAAAATGGGTAAAAACAGAGAAATTTCCATAACATCCCTTTTTTTTTAAGTATTAAAAAAAGGGAAGAGTTTATATAGAGCCGAGGCTCTAAACAATCAAATTAGAGCCTAGCTAAAAATTTTCACTAGAAGAGGTTATTTTGATGCCCAAATATCCTCAAATTGATCATCTCGACATCAAGATCAATGCACATGAGAAAAAAATAGATTTAAAGTTTTGGAAATACTACATCTTGTAACACATTTTTGGACCGTCAATTTTCAAGTTTTTCAAGCTTTTATAGATCTGCTCAATCTATACTATTTTTGAAGCTTTAAATTTTATAATTAAAGTTACTAATATATTTTAAGGCTATCACAAAGATTTTCAGTATTGAAACCATTTTTCTCGACACTATTTAAAGGTTGGCTCTAATTTGATTGTTTAGAGCCTCGGCTCTATACAAACCGAACCCTTAAAAGAATGTCCTTGTATAGTTTTCATTTTAAGTCATGGCCCTTTTTTATGATTTTTTCCCCAAATGCCCTTGGTTTGGAACTCTAAATTCCGATAAAGTTTTTTCTTTTCTTTTCCCATTTTTGGGTCACAACTCCAAGTTCCAACCTGAATTTTTTGTGTTAAAAAAAAAAATCAAGTCGAAATATAAAGTTCCCATCCCAGGTTAACATTATCAAAAAAAACATAAAGTTCCCATCCAGTCATTCAAGAAAAAAAAATACAAGCTTTTAAAACTGGACCAGTACTTCACGTTTAGACCTTGTTTTCTACAAAAACTAAGTGTAAAAAACCAGCTCGTAAGTTAAAGATCCGAGCATTTTTATGACTGGATTGGAACTCCATGTTACAACATGGTTTTCTCACAAAAATCTAGCGTTAGAACTGGAAGCTCCGACCCAAAAACTAGGATAAGAAATAGGTAAAATATATGGGTCAACACTTGAACTTTTGGCCCGAGAGTACTATTTGGGTTTTGTGGCCAGTTAAAGGCCTTATGAGAGCATGTACTGAAAATATATAACAAATTATTGACTCCAATGGGAGTATGGTCCAGCTTGGAATGAAGGGCATTAATAATGCCTAAGGCTCACATGAGTTTTGACTGGTTATGTGAAGTCTAAAACCCGTAATCTTGGGCGTTGTATAAGGACAACCGATAAAGGTTTCGATGTGGGGTTATCCCTAGATAAGGTCGGAGATGTGCCCAAGACAGTTGGTTATGGTACATGGATTTGACCCCTATGTGTGATGGATGGCCTGAGAGGACAAGGGCCTGAATCCTCATCATTACCATCACACAGCATGTACACTAGATAGTCGTCCGGGAATCGACCATTGGGATAAGGGTATGTGACGTGTACATGTACAGAAGAGATGATTCCATGCAACACTACACTGTGTTGGAAGGACCCATGGAGCATACTGCTGAAATGGGCCTTAGACTTATCCTCAGGGAGGGACCTGTAATTCATGATCTAGGATCATATCTTCTCCACTTATTGGCCAACTTTGATGGTCCAAACATGAACCCCTGCGATGCATTGTGGGTCATAGGATCGGTCAGGTCAGTTTGAAAAGATGCAGTGAGATGCGGTCTCTAGAGAGGATGGAGTCCTCAGTATATTTGTCATAATCCTAACTCTATGGATTCAACTCCCATCAAATATTCTTTAATATTAATTATTTTATAGATAATTAAAATGAATTTTTAGACCTCTTTGAGCATTTTATTTTATTGAAAAATAATTTTTATGAATTTTCTGAATTTATTTTTAATCAAAGAGAAAAATAAAATATTTGAAGGTTTTGTCAAATTTCTTTTAATATCTAAAAATTAATATTGATATATTGGGGACCCAATGGGGTTCAATGGGCCCACGAATGTGTGGGACGTAGGGACCACATGGATACCACATGGGTGGTGCGCCCCACCCCATGCAAACTTTCCTTATAGTTTCAAGTGCCTTCTAAGGCATGTGATGATTTGAAGTTTTAGAAATTTAAGGTGTAGAGATTTGAATTGAAACTAGATAGGAAAGTGTAAGATATCGGATAAGTATAAATTAAATACTTTCTCTACACAAAATATTTGATAAGAATGGAGTTATGGAAACTGAGGGATAAGGTTCCACATCATTCATTAATCATAATGCCTGATCTAAATAATGAATGGTTGAGATCTCTTCACCCCATAGGTCTCTAAGATCAAAGGTCAAAATTAACCCTAAGGCATGACACGCCCAAGCCACACACATCCTAACCCTAGGTCCTTGCCTCATGCTCATGTGTTGAGCCTTGATCAAGGAAATCTCATGTATGCTCTCCAAAGGTTTTTGACGAAGCTTCCCTAATTGTGAGGGGTGTTCTTGAATCAAGATCATGTGCGCCATTGGTGGAGGAGACCCAGTTTGGGGTGTACGAAGTCCTTGGGGGTAACTTGAGGCAAGGTACACGTTGTTTCATATTGCGTGCTTCTGTTGCTTCTATTGCTTTTTTATGTAATTTTCAATTCTACATGATGACTGTAATTTTCTTTTAAGGGCATGCAAGTGAGAGGTCTTGGCTATATCATTGAGTCAAAAATGTATTTCGAATACTTGGAAATAATCCAGGTGGCAATATGCATAAAAGATTTTAGAAATCTTTTAATTAGTATTGACTTGCCCGATCACATAGTCCACCTTTCAAGTATTTTGGAAAAATTTTCAAAAAAAATGACAAAAAAGGAATGTCTAGGTAAAATTCAAAAAATACAGGAGACATTCTTCAAATACCAAAATAAAAGGGCTACTAAAAATATTTCTCAAAAAAATGAAAAACACTAAAAATTGAAAAAAAACGAAATCAAAGTGCACAAATAACCTTCAAGAAATAGTTTTAATTCAAAAAATAAAAATTTAATCAGATTTAAAAAAAAGAGCTCAGAATTAAAAAAAAAAAAATTTAATTTCTATCTTTTGACCCAAAAAATGATTAGCTCCTACACAATAGTTGAGAAAGATTAAAATTCTGTTTTCTTGAAAGAAAATAGATCAAAAAAAGAGGAGAATTGAAGAAAATGACAGAAAAAAGGTCGAAAATCCCCCTTAGAGATTGTTTCTATTCAAAAACATTTGTTGAGTTTATAGTGATAGGAACATTTTGGACAAATTTGATGGAATTTGGAGAAACAAGGAGAGAGAAATCACAGATTTTGGATTTTAGGTTCAAAAACTCCCAAAGTTTGAACTCTCATCTTCTTCTATTTTGGTTTTTGATTGAGAAAATAATTGCATAGACAAGAATGAAGTTTTTTTGTTTTTTTTTTTTTTTGAAAGGTAATGAGGGCTTAAAATCTAAAATTTTTAAGTTTTATGACTTTTTTAAAAATATGAGCGACAATGATTGGGAATATACAAGCTGACCCCAATTAGTTGGGAAAACGCTTCGATGATGATAATGATGAAATGAGGGACAAAGATTGAGAATGGTGGATTGGAGGTTTCATGAAGAAAAAAGGCCATCTTTTAGAAAATGAGCGATTATGAAGGGGACTTGATTCCAAGCTGAGTCGAGCAGTTGCAAGTCGGCTCGGCAATGTTCTGAATACTGATAGCCTTCAAAGTGATCACCATATGATTTCATAGCAGCATATGTGTAACTTAGGTCTTAAATTTATTTTGGCAATTTTTCGATTGCATTTTGTGACATGGATCTGAATAAAATTTTATACATTTATAGTTAATTTTTCACAAATTTTAAAATTTCTTATTTTATATAATTATAGTACAGATTTCCTCCCTGACTAGGGAGCTTCTAGTAAGCAATGATTCTCCACTCCCACCCTGCTCCCCTCCTGCCCTGAACAACTATGCTTCATATCCTATCATTGCGAAGCATAGGAGAAACCATTTTCTGTAATTAATACAATTAAAATAACAAGGTTGGTAGGATCATAAAAGTCTTACCATGGAATCTGATTGTCGGATCTTCAAAAGTGCAGTTTTCAGCATAAATTGCCACAGTCATGTTCCCTGCATGAATCTTTCAAATCAGTCGCTTTTGGGATATCACTGGTATAGTATAAGAATGGTAAATTTTCAATGAAGATTTTCTTTTCATCAGTAATAAATCTTCATAAAAGTTTACTTCCAAGATTTTTGATAAGCTGCAAAAAATGATGAAAAAAATGCACTCAGCTATTAAATATGGATCTCCCAAAAGAAGTCCTCGTCAAGAATGCACAGATAGAAGGTCTACAACAAACCAATCATGCATGTAGCAATATGCAACAGCACATGGGTGAAGATGATACATCAGAATTTTTAATTTGGGGATGACAGTGATTTTTAGTTTGGGGATGACAGTGATTATATTTGGTACCTCAAGTGATTTATCCCAAAAGAGAAACAGAAAAAAAAAAAATTTTGTTTAATCCTTCTGCGAATAATTAAAAGGGCATTTCCTCTTTGAACTTACTAACCAGCCAGCAGAAATAGCACAAAATATAAAATAGTGTGTAATACAATGGTCGCATCTCAGAAGTATCCAATGCAAATCATTATCCATTTATAACATTGTCAATTTGTGTCTGTTTCCCAGCAACTTCCATGCGTAACAGGTTTGATCCTAGACGCATACGATGCTATTAAGTAATAAAGGAATTCCTGTAATTGGTGTTCCTCATCTGTGAATGTAACTTTGACAAAATTAGTGAGTACAACTCATTTTACCTCTAGTCATTTCATACATGCACTTCCCAGATGGGTTTGATTAAAGAAGATCATTCTTTCAGACAACGATCTGTTGAACGCAACATTGCACAATGGCCAGTCCATGGGGCACGAGGTTTGTGTCATGATATTCTTTAGAAAGCAAATATTCAACAATAGTCAACTGACTGTAAGAAATACTCATAAGAAAATATGCGGTACTAACCTCAAATTATAAACCCAATGGAAATTGCTATAAAATAAGCTTTTAGGATCACAATATTCTCATAATTTAGGAAATATAATGGAAAGACAACATTTTATAATCCCAACAATGACACCACTAGGCGATAAGAAGAGAGCGAGTAGATTTAGGTGGGTTAGCTATGTGTGGTGCAGACCCAGTACAGCACCTCTTAGGAGGTGCGAGTTAGTTCAAGTGGAAAGCTCAAAAAAGACAACGAGTAGGCCCAAAAGGATATGGTTGGAAGTAATGAGAAAAGATATGGGGACTTATGGCCTCACTGAGGGTATGGCCCTTAATACGGAAGAATGGCAGACCGGGATTCGTGTAGCTAAACCCAACAAGTTGGAAAAGGCTTTGACGAAGATGATGATGAACAATAGCATGACAACTTCAAACTGCACTATATTAGACTTTCAAAATGAAATATAGTCATTTCTAAAAGTTAAATCACATTTTCAAAGAGTGTTATAACGATAAGACCAAATCTATCGTTTCAACTAGTCAGACCGAAATAGGACTAGAGCCTTGGTCAACATGATCCGAAGAAAAAATCACGTTTTGCCGAAATTTGAACTCATTTGACTGGCTAAATAATGTTGAGCAACATTATATATAATATATTTCATATTTTTAAGCTACTCTTCCTACTTTTTTCGTATTTTTTAAACATCTGGTCAGCCGGTCCAGCCAATTTAACTATTTAACAGAGAGTAGGACCTATTTTGAATGGACCAAATCCCTAACTAGTTCTGTGGCCAATGCGATTTTGATAACACTGATTCCAAAGACATTGATGACATGATCATAAGAAAACAATATTCAATTTACCCTTTGTAGATCAATATTTTAACACCAAGAGCCGGACTAATGCAAACATCTATGACAGATCACGCAAGTTCAAGTGCCTCTCATATTTCTCTTCTACAACTTTAGTACATTAGGGTTAAGTAAGAATACTTTGACAATGTGAATAATGATTCAACAACTTGTGGGATATTTATCTCAAAAATGAAATACATACAATTATGTCACTGGGTTTTTGGCTCGTCAAAGAACCTTCTATGAGTAATACAAGAAAGAAACACAAATACACATTGTCTAAAATAAATAGAAGATACGGCACGATCCAACAATTTGAGTAATACCCCATTATTAAATCATTTACTTCAATGACTACCAGCAAGTGAACAAAACCAAAGATAGAAAATAAAATAAGATTAACAATGATTGATTCCTGATAGGGGAATTTATAAAATAGTCAAGGACATGGCAATTTCTTACCTGTAACAAAGTAAGATTTCTCAAAATCTGATTGAAGGATGCCCAGAACATCATTAACACCATATACAGAAACTTCATCCCCTCGAGTATAATTAACACTCTTTAATCTAGGAAATAACAAGATTTAGGTAACAAGAATGAGACAATCTAGGTACTGCACATGAATTCACCAATGCTTATTTATAGTAGAGCACAAAAAATAAGCATAAAACAGAATGATTCGGAGTACGATTAATAAATGATAGTAGTTGCTGAGATTCAAGTAAATGAAAATATTCATTATCCATGTTGCAACTTCTTAGTAGACATCAGTAGTTCAGAGACAAGGGGTCTCAATCTCTAGCACGGTTATGAGATAAAATGAATGTATTATGTATAGTGTTAGCATGACACTTTCTTGTCTAAATTTTGAATTTTCTTGAATGTTGAAATCAACTAAGTTGATCAGAGTTCAGGCACTATGGAATACGAATTTAATCAGATTCATACGTTTCTAAGTTGCAAAAGGAATTAAAGTACAACGAAACGCAAGGAATCCATTAACATTTGTTAGTAGATATAACCAGAATACAAAAGAATTGTTTTCAAAATTACACATACTAGAGAGAAGAGAACCCTCAAGGGCATCCAATGGATAAATCTAGGACAACTTCCCTGACTACAAGTATAAAGGAGATCCATTGAAGTTACCCAGATATTCATTTGTAAAACTCACTACTAATTAATATATATTTTTTGGAACTTAACTACTAATTAATATATTGAAGCATCTTTAATAAGCTGGAGGTAATACAAGACTCCACAAAAACTTAATGACACAGAAGCCCCTAAACTTTAAGTGACTTGAATGCATGCGCAAGCACGTACACGAAACACACTCAAGCGCACTTGCACACATACCTGCAGACACCTGCCCACCCACCCAGACAGACACGTGCATGCATAAGTACGCACACATAAGGGAAAAAGGAAAAAAAATATACAAATTCAGATCAACAATGTCAAGTGTGATCCTTCTCACACGGTACAGAAACCATACCAACATCAAAAGAGATACCTTAGATTTCTCCTCAGATGGCTCAAGAAGCCTCAGGCTAAAGAATCCATCTCATAAACCACAATTAAAGGAAGTTATCTGAGCAATGAGGTGAGGTCTTTTGGAGCTGGTTTGGAGTAGCATTTTAAACGCTCAGCAAGTTCAATAGGAAATTGCCTTAGTAGACTTGTCTTGGGCCCTTGCAGGTCCTTGCATGACTCATCTGAGTCTTCTGGTCCAAACCTGACTCAAATCGGATGAGTTCATCCATATCAACTCGGTTCAGGACCAAGCTGAATGCAGAGCAGAGTCTGTGATTGAAAACCTGAGTGTGGAGAGGAAAGAAAAATAACCTATTCCTCAGAACAGGAAGATGTAATCATTTGGTGTAAAGTTTATCTCATAAAGCCCACACTCATGAAGACATCAATCCATTTTCTGGTTGCCTACCAAGGTCTCCGCTAGATTTTAGAAGCCTCACGAACATTTTCTTTCGAGTGGAAGGAATAGGGAGCACAAAAATTATCCAATTCAATGCGCATAGTCTACAACCAAAACACAAGATATTAGACTAGTTCCCTCCTTTCCAAATGGATGTTGATGACTTTGATTGGTGTGAATCTATAGGAAAATACGATTCAAGACAAAAATGACCCTAATGGGGTAGCATCAAAATGTGTACCAAATGATTCAAAAAGGGGATAAGGTTCAATATGCCTTGTTGTATGCAGCATTTTGAGATAATAATGGGATATTAGTGGGATCCAGAAAGACATTTCCCAAGGATCATTGCTGTATCCTGGCTCAAAATGGTTAAAATAATAATTCTCATTCATGGACAGATGATTTATTGTTTACTTTTCTTTTTTTGTCCAGGAACTAATTAAATTGTATTATTGCATGGGAGTTGCATAAAATTGACATAACCTGAAATATATAAGTTCACAAAATCAAGAAGAACCAAGACATTCAGCAGCACTGCACTTCAAATGTAGTCCATAACTAAGCGGGGGCCAGTCTGATGCCAACCTTAAGGAAATTGAATTAGTAAGCCCACCTGGAACCAAATTGATCATGTCACTAAGGTTCAATAATTGGGTCAAAGTTGTTTCTTCTGGAGTACATTGAGGTTAGTCAAGTTGTAGAGGCAGCAATGGTTAGGTTCAGAAATTTGAGGGTTGAGGATCGAGATTAATGAAAGCAATAACGCAAGGTGGACTGGTAGGAATGAAGTGAAGAATAAAGAGCTGTTGGATCAGCTTCTTATCCTCATTGCAATTTTAAGGGTCTGCTTTGGTTCAGTGGATAGGAAGGACAAACTTACTCAGGAACATAGATGTTCAACTTCATACTCTGTCAGACCATGTATTACAAAATTTCTTGCACTAGTGAAGTAGTAATGTACAATTTCAAAAACGTGCTCTGGAATTAGAGGCTTATCTCCTCTTTTCTTTTGGCTTGTTTTATTATGCCATTCACTACTAGCAATCATCTACAGAGTAGATAATTCCAGTTTTATAATTGTTCAGGTCTCTGTAGAAAGAAATAGTGGAACAACTCCTCTTATCAAGTTGACATGAAAGTGTGGATGCATATGCCAACTTTATTATGGATGCCACGAGTTTGTGCCAAATCTTAAACAATAGCACACCAGAGAATGGAGGATTGCTGGTAAAAGACATTAAGTAGCCAAGTTGCTAGACTATTTCTTTTCATTTCTCTAAAGAACACTGAAGAAAGGGAAACTACATTATCTTCAATAATACACAAGGTGATGAAGACGACTTATGAAGAGGATTCATGAGGATGTTATATCGGTTGGTTTATCAAACTCCCCACTCATTGAAGACCAAAATTTTTGACAAATGGGCATTTCGCTAAAATCATGACAAGATTTTTATCTCAAACAAGAAGAACAAATGATTAGGATCCCACTTTTCTTAGAACACTCCACCCCAATTTTCAGGGCATTATTAAAAAAACTAAATTTTGATGGCTGCTCAAAAGGTAGTCCAAGAAAAATAAGGATTGATAGGTCCTTAGAGATGCAGTTGAGGAGATCCTCAAATGTTCATCAAGCCCCTAAGGTATTGAACATATAAGGTCAAAGGCCCATTCTCAAAAAACATGAGCTTAGATCCACAGTGGAACTATGTAGCCTCCCCACACAAATTAGAGGGGAATGCATAATCATTAGTAGACTGCTATGAAGGAACTCTGGCAGATTTGACCACATTTTTCAAGAGAACTTTTACTAGTACTTAAAAAGTTAATAATATGAGTATGGCAAAGGCTAAAGTGAACCATGAGAGAAGGAATTCAAGCAATTTGAGGAGTTGCATGAATGGGAATGCATAGCATGCAGAGGGTAGTCAAAGGGTTCGACGAACCCGGTGTTTTGGGGGCTGAACAGTCGAAGAAGCTCCGTGACTCCATTAACGGCAAGCTTTAGCAGCTGAGGAGCTTCTTCTTTCTCCCCCAGTGAACATAAAAAGGGGCCCTGCATCTTCTTCTTCTTCCCATCGTTGAAGTTAGGTTTGGGAAGTGGTTTTAAATGAGAAGGGAATGAGGAGCAGATAGACGCCATTTCCCGCCTCTCGGTCATTCACTATGCATATTTCATAGGACTTGCGAATCGGATTTTTCTCTGAGCGTACGCTATGCTTCCGGCGGAGTGTATTGTAGACTTACTAACTCGGGCAGAAGACCAATGGAGACTTTTTAAGGTTTTGGATCCAAACTTGACAGGTCGAGTCCAAAAGTGGAACCGTATCTCAGGTTTGATCTAGTTAAATCACCGTATTAATATATTTTTTTAAAGATTAAGGTATTATACGAAATAGAAATTTGACTTTATTGCAAAAGCAAAAATATGATATTTTTATAAAAAAGGT